GGGTGGGAGGATGGGTTGGCCTGGTGGTGGGTATTGAGGAGGGCACATTCTGCATGAAGTACTGGGTGTTATGCACAGGCAATGAATCATGGAACACTTCATCTAAAACTAATGATGTAATGTATGGGGATTAACATAAGAATAAAAAAAATTAAAAAAAATTAAAAAATTAGAGATGACACTAGAATATCAGGGTGAGGAACTTTCAAACTGCAGGCTGGTATTGATTTCATTGGGGGGCATAAAAGTGTTCTAGATATATGTATCTTTCAAGAAGCACATCTTCTCTCTAAAGATAAGATCAATACATGTGATTGTACACATATGACAACCATAATGTCACACTTCCTTTTACAACAGCAATATAGCAATTCTCAGTGTTGCTGTCATGTTCTTATTCAAGAGTAAGACAGTACATTTCAGCCTTGTTGTCTCTGAGTGTAGGTATATGTGAGAGTATATGATCTACATCCACCAAAGTAACACAAATTCAACATGACAACCTATAAAAAGAACTTCAAAGTACTGTGAAATTAGTAAATGCAATGACTATTTAAATACCAGCAGAACAAATCCAAAATAATCTACCAAAAGCAAAGTATGAAATGAGGCCACGTGAGTTTATAACAATGATGCGGGGTAGGCATCCAGAAACCTGAGATTCTCCTTTGAGTTTTGGATACTTGCTGTATCACTTTGAACTTGTCACTTAACAGCCCTGGGACATCTTTCCCTCACCTGGAAAACTTGATCTTAACTCTAGATATTCCCAAATCAAACAATGTATTACATCTAAATACTTTTACAATTTCTTGTGTCTATTGCTTTCAAGATGGATTTTCTTTATAAATGAACTTTATCTCAACACCACACAGCCAGGGAGGGGTACCTGTCACTGCTCTCATGCTGGCTTTTTTATCTTTGGCCAAAGCTGAGCTCAGAAGCCTACCTTGAAGAGGAAGCAGAATCCCATTGGATTCTCTTGCTTCCCAAAAACTGAATAACACCTCACTTGATCCTACTGTTCACATGAATCTCAGAGGAACAAGAATCTTTCCTGTTTTTTAGCTACTATAGAATTATCACATTGAATTTCTCCCCCGTGCCTTGGTAGAATGTGGGTTGGTTCAGAAACAGAATAATGTCTGTGAGAATTAACTGAGTAGGTTAACTACACTCTATTTCTGTTCAGCATTGGGTCAGCATTGGGATTTAAGCCATCTTAACTCTGATATCAGATATGTTGTTTTTTTTTTAAATTCATTTAGTCACATATATTTACCAATGCACTTCTGTTTAGTTCTAGTATTCATGTTAGGTCCATGACCAAATCCACACTTCTGATAGAAAGAAAAAAAAAAAAAACACACCATCAACATCAATGATTAAGACACTGAAGATGGGGTGCCTGGGTGGCTCAGTTGGTTGAGTGACTGCTTTCGGCTCAGGTCATGATCCTGGAGTCCCAGGATTGAGTCCCACATTGGGCTCCCTGCTCGGCAGGGAGTCTGCTTCTCCCTCTGACCCTCCCTCTTCTCATGTTCTCTCTCTCATTCTCTCTCTCAAATAAATAAATAGAATCTTAAAAAAAAAAGACACTGAAGATGAACAAAATAGAGTGCATGAAAAGTACTTTAAATTTACCTACATAAAGACAATGAAAAATGCTTTAAATGGCAAATATAAATGTTTTTACAAACAATTATGGAAAATATCATTTAAAATGTTTGTAACAATGAGACCCAATTACTAAGTGTATTGAAGAATTCTCTAAGATGCATTAACATGTATGATCTAGAGTTCATTGTTATGAACATCTTTATTTCAGACATGTATTAATTAGATTTTCCTATACTTCTTATTTATAAAATACTTTTAATCAATACATTTTTGAGATCAAATTAGCAAAACATTCATTTTTATTATGAAATGTCATATATTTTAAACTTGAATCAGTATATATTTCTTACATTTCTCATTTGTAAATCTTATGATTGCTTTGTTTAATATAGCCAAAGGTCAAAGTGAAAGAACCATGAAATTATTCATGCAGAATATGTGCATCATGGAAGATTTTCATAGAATTAGACTTAGGGTCTGAAGATAATGAGTTGGATTTTATTCCTTATCATGGTGCCAATTTTAATAGAGTGAACAAAATATTTTTGGAAAAATTTGCTCACGTAATAAATTGTTGCGTGTTTTGTTCTTCTGCACAGTGAAGCTATGACAGAGAAGAATGGGAGAACATGCTTCTGAAACATGGTGGCATGAATAAGGGTGGCCTCTTTTCCTTTCACTTCTCCTATATTCCTTAAAACAAACGACTATTGGGGAACATGCAAAACTGGGTTCAAATGAAGTATTAGGCTGTGTTAGAGCTTCTGAGAATAGAATCAGTGTAGGAACCTTCTCTCTCCCATAAGATCTCCAAGAGAGCTTGGGAGATCAGTTTTAAAAAGCCCTGATAGATGGACTTCTGGTATACCAGCCTGAGGAATAATACAGACCAACTTCCAAATAAAGCTGGTGAAAATTATAAAGAATGGCAATTTAAAGTCCCCAGAAATGGTCCTAAGGACACAACAAATGAAGAAATATTTAATTGGGAAAACCTACTAAAACTTTGTAAGAGCAGTGAGTCTGTGGTGTTTGAACTATGGCCCACTCCCTCCATCCCACATCCCAGCTTAGAGTGATGAGAGCTCCACTCCAGATGTGTGTAGTCAAGAGCATGGGACTCCCTTTCCAACAGCTTCTAGTTGAAGGGCTATGGTATCTTTCCAGGAGAGGCAGGACATCAACAGTTTTCATCATGCTCCAGTTATGTGTTGCAGAGACTATAGTCCAGGCAAGTACAGTTAAAAGGTGAGGGTTCAGGGGATCGATATGGCTACCGAGGGGGATGTGGAGCTGGAGTTGGAGACTGAGACCAGCGGCCCGGAGCGGCCTCCCGAGAAGCCACGGAAGCATGACAGCCGTGCAGTGGACCTGGAGAGAGTCACCGACTACGCAGAGGAGAAGGAGATCCAGAGTTCCAATCTGGAGACGGCCATGTCCGTGATTGGAGACAGACGGTCCCGGGAGCAGAAAGCCAAACAGGAGCGGGAGAAGGAACTGGCCAAAGTCACCATTAAGAAGGAAGATCTGGAGCTGATAATGACAGAGATGGAGATCTCAAGAGCAGCAGCAGAACGGAGCTTGAGGGAACACATGGGCAACGTGGTAGAGGCTCTTATTGCCCTAACCAACTGATTTGTGCTTTCTCAGACCCACTCACTGGATTATTTTATTTCAATAAAGATGTAGCCTTTTTTTTTTTTGCAAAAAAAAAAAAAAAAAAGTGAGGGTTCAGTTTTTCTGCCCTGTTCCCACTTGTGGGATGGAGTGTCTATCTTGGGTGAAGCACATTGAGAATATTGGGTCATGGACCACCTTAATCCCAGTTTGTACCACTTTGGGAGAAGCAACTGGAGAAGATCAAAAGCTACAACCCAGTCTATAACTCTCCACCCCACCTCGAATGCCTACCTTATTAGGGGTATCAATCAGAGAAAAGTACTCCATTGTTCCTACCCCCAGCTCCAGAGCCTTGACTCATATATTTACCCCATGGTAGAGGCAGGCCATGAAACAAAGAGCTCTGAATATCTTCTCAAGGAACTGGTTTCATTGCAACAGAATATGGGGTATTAAACCCAGAAGAATTTTCAAAACAACGAGAGGTGTGGTGAAAAGTAATTAAAAGGAAACTGAATAATTCTTTGGAAATATAAGTTAAACCATTATCTGACTAATTTTCCAGAAAACAAAACAAAACAAAACAAATAACAGGGAACAGAAAGCTAAGGAGAACCTTTCTGTGGTCAAAACAGTCTCAAACAGAGACCTCAAAAACTGTCCCTGTAAAGGAGCCAGAATTTTATTGGATAAATCTGTGGAGAAATTTATGACCCAGGTCATTGTTGAAAATGACAGAAAAATCAGAAATGAGTGGAACTTAACAGCATGATGTGATGAAAAAAGAGAGAGAGAGAGAAAATGCCAGAATCATCATCATCCCAGGATGACAGTGCTCATGCTCAAGGCTTCACCTTCATGGGGCAACACCAGAGGCTCACACTGAAAGGGTGACATTGCCAAAATAATCCAGCCAGTCATATGAAATATTGATGAACACATAACAATAACAAGTCCCAGAGGAATGGTACTGGGGATAATATCCAAACTTGCTACAATTTATTGTTTAAATGTTTAGTACCCCTTCTAAATAGATGGATATATATTGAATTGGGAGGGGGGCTGGACATTTTAAAAATATTTTATAATAACTGTATCAATATGGTATTGCCCCAATTGTATCAATATGATATATATTTATTTATGCAAAGAAATAGGAAGTTTTGACACATCCACAGGAAAAGTAACTAGGCAACAGAAAAACAGAAATGCCTGTGAGAGGAATCAGATGTCAGGTTTAACAGACAGAGACATCAAAGTAACCATTATAAATATGTTCAAAAACTAAAGGAAAACATGCTGAAAGAAGTGAAAAAGATATGATGCTAATGTTGCAACAAATAAGAAATATCAAAAAAGAGGAATAATATTTAAAAAAATAGAAATCTTGAAGCTGAAAAGTATAATATTGAAAGAAAAATCTGCTAGAAGGGTTCAACAGTAGATTTGAACTGGCAGAAGAAAGAATTAGTGAACTTGAAGATAAATCAATAGAGATTATGCAACCTAAGTAATAAAGAGAAAAAATGAAAACAAATAGAGAGGCTCAGAGAAATGTGGGGCACCATTAAGCTCACCAATGTATGCATAATGATAATTCCAGAAGGACAAAGGAAGAAATGAAGGAGAAAAATATTTGAAGAAATAATATTTGAGAACTTCCCAAATTTGATGAAAAATTTTCATCCATACATCCAAGATGCTAAAAAAATATCCAAGTAGAATAAATACAAAGAGATCATAAATAGATACATCAGAGTAACAAAATCAACATGGAAATAGAAAACTTGAACAACAGTATAAACCAAGTAGACCTCCCAGATCTCAGTAGAACACTCCATCCAGAATGGTGCAATGTATACTTTCACAAATGCACAAAGAGCATTACCCAGGGTAGACACCAAGTCATCCAACAAAATTTAATATAATTAAAAGGATTAAAAGAATAGAAATGTTTATGTGCTCCAACCACAGCAGAATGAAATTAGAAGTCAAAAATAGAAAAAAAAAATGGGAAACTCAAAATATGTGAATATTAAAATAGCACATTCTTAAAAACTTAATGGGCCAAAAAAACAAAAAAAGAGTAAGAGAAAATTAAATTACTTTTAATGGAGTTATGTGAAGACAGAGCATGCCAAAAATTATGGAATTCAGTGAAAGCAGTCCTTAAAAGAACATTTATAGCTATAAATGCCTACCTTGAAAAAAGATATAATTGACAAATAACATTGTATTAGTTTAAAGTGTATAAAATAATGACTATATACACATATATATAATTTGTATATATAAACCATTACCATAATAAGTTTAGTTAGTATCCATCACCTCACAGAGTTACAATTTTTTTTTCTTGGTGTAAGAACTTTTAAGATCTATACTCTTCACAACTTACAAAGATATAATATAGTATTATTAACTATAGTCACCATGCTGTACATTACATCCCCAGAACTTATTTATATTAAAAGTTAAGTTTGTACTGTTAGACCACCATCACCCATTTCCCCCATCTCCCACCTCTCACCCCTGGCAACCAACAGTCTGTTCTGTTTCTAAGAGTTGAGAGGTTCTTTGCTTGTTTGTTTGTTTGTTTGTTTGTTTTATTCCACATATAAGAGAGATCATATGGTATTTGTCTTTATCTGTCAGATTTATTTCATTTAGCATACTGACCTCAAGTCTATCCATGTCACAAATGGCAGGATTTCCTTTTTCTTCCTTATGGCTGAGTAATATTTCACTGTATATATTATCACGTTTTCTTTATCCATTCTTCTGTCAATGGGCACTTAGGTTGTTTCCATGTCTTGGCTATTGTAATTAATGCTGCAGTGAACAAGTGGGTGCAGATTTCTTTGAGATAGTGATTTAGTTCCCAGAAGTAGAACGTTGAATCATATGCTAGTTCTAATTTAATTTTGTGAGGGATGACCTCCATACTGTTTCCCATAGTGGTTGCTCCAATTCACATTCTCACCAACAGTTCCAAGGGTTTCTTTTCTCCACATCCTCACCAACACTTGTTATCTCTTCTTTTTGATGAGAGCCATTTTATCATTCTCTGTTGAAGAGACTATCCTTTCTCCATTGTACATTCTGTCATAAATTAATAGACCATTCACTTGTAGGTTTACTTCTGTGCTCTCTGTTCTGTTCTGTTGATCTATATGTCTGTTTTTACTCCAATACCATTCTGTTTTGATTACCACAGTTTTGTGATATAACTTGAAATCAGGAAGCGTAATGTCTCTAGCTTTGTTCTTCTTTCTCAAGACTGCTTTGGCTAATTCAGGTCTTCTGTGGTTTCATACAATTTTTAAGATTGTTTTTTCTATTTCTGTGAAAAAAATCCATTGGAATTCTGATAAGGATTACACTGAGTCTATAGATTGCTTAATTAGTACGGACATTTCACAATATTAATTCTTCTAATACATGAGCATGGAATATCTTTCCATTTATATGTGACTTTTTCAATTTCTTTCAACAGTATCTTACAGTTTTCAGTGAATAGATCTTTCACCCCCCTTTTTTAAATTTGTTTGTAGGTATTTTATTCTATTTGATGCAACTATAAGTGAAACTGTTTTCTTAATTTCTCTTTCTGATAGTTTGTTTTTAGTGTATAGAAACACAACAGATTCTTATTGATTGATTTTACATACTGCAATTTTACTGAATTTGTTTACTGTAACAATAAAGTCTTTAGGCTCTTCTATATATAATATCATGTCATCTACAAATAGTGACACGTTTACTTCTGCCTCTTTGATTTAGATGCCTCTTATTTCTTTTACTTACCTAATTGCTCTGGCTAGGACTTCCAGTGCTATGTTGAATAAAAATGGCGAGAGTGGGCATCCTTGTCTTGTTCCTGATTTTAGAGAAAAAAACTTTGAGGTTTTCACCCTTGCATATGATAGGTTAGCTGTGGGCTTATACATGATTTTTACTTTGTTGAGTATATTCCCTCTACACCCAGTTTGTTGTGAGTTTTTATCATGAATGGATGTTGAATTTTGTCATTTGTTTTCTGCATCTATTGAGTTGATCATAAGATTTACATCCTTCATTTTGTTAATGTATTGTATCACATTGATTGATTTGTAGATGTTGAACCATCCTTTCATCCCAGTGATAAATCTCACTTGATCATGGTGTATGATCCTTTTAATGTGTCATTGAATTCAGTTTGCTAATAATTTGTTGAGGACTTTTCCATCTATGTTCACCAGGGATATTGGCTTGTAATTTCTTTTCTTGTAGTGGCCTTGTCTGGTTTTAGCATCAGAGAAGTTTTCTAATTTTAATGAAGTCCAACTTATCCATTTTTTCTTTCATAGAATAAATTTTGTTTCCCAGCTAAAAACTTACCAATCCAAAGTCACTAAGTTTTCTCCTGTATTTTCTTCTAGAAATTCTATGATTTTAACTCTTACATTTAAGTCTTTGATCCATTTTGATGTCCCTTTTATTTGTGACACTAGGTAAGGACATAAATTCATCTTCTTACATATGAATGTCCAATTATCTCAAAATTATTTGTTAAAAAGACTACAATTCCCCATTGAACTATCTTGATATCTTTGTCAAAAAATTGACCATACATATAAGGGTAAATGTTCAGATTTGCAATTCTGTTGTACTGATCTATATTTGTACATTTATTTTAGAAGTACATCATGTTTTCTAACACATTTTGAAATTAGAAAATATAAATCTTCCAATTTTGTTTTTTTTTTCCCAAACTTATTTTGTCTATTTTGGCTCCTTCATGTTTTTTATATAAATTTTGGAAAAGGGTTTTCTATTTCTACAAAATAAATTCTGATAGGAACTATATTGAGTCCACAGATCAATTTGGAAAAAATTGGCATTTTCTAACTCCAAAATCTTAATATCTTAACACAACAAATGCTTCTTTCTTACCTTACATTTTATTTGGGGAAAACCACAGGGTGGTGACATTGTTTCTGCTCCAGAGAGCTCATAGTCTATTGAGAAAGATATGAATGTAAAGTAGGAGCACCTGGCTGGCTCAGTATAGCATGCAACTCTTGATCTCAGGGTTGTGAGTTCA